CGTAAAGTGGAAAAAATTACAAATCGGAAAATGTATAAATGCGCGGGACATTGTATATTTCCTGCATTACTGCATTGTCACTTCAATTAAATCTAACGTTACGTTGTAATTTTTCTCACGGCATGTAAGACCTTTACCATGGATCCAAATCTACAGGTTACGTAATAGATTTACATATTGATATTTACGTACATATACATATTTACATACATTTATTACCCCCTACATACCTACATGTTACATAAAACAAAAACGTAAAGTGGAAAAAATTACAAATCAGAAAATGTACAAATCCCCAGGACACTGTATATTTCCTGCATTACTGCATTGTCACTTGAATTAAATCTAACGTTACATTGTAATTTTTCTTATGGCATGTAAGACCTTTACCATGGATGCAAATCTATGGGTTACCTAGTAGATTTACATACTGATGCGGAAAAATATCCGCTGCTGCGTAAAAATACATATTAGGATGTACACATTGACAATGAAATCGTCTAAATTCAATCACGGGATCCCCCACGTGTCTTGTTTGAAAATAATGTGAAACGCGTCGAGACGGGTCCAGCATAGATGGCGCGGCGTAGCTCATCATTAGTCGTCGCTGGCATTTGGCCGGTGAAGGTTCAGGTGATCTCCGGAGCTGACTAGCCTCAGTTTAGTGGTATCGAATTGACGCAAAAAAAAGTAAGTACCTATCCAGGAAATTGTCTTACTATTATGGTTAGGTTTTCATGTAGAATATGTTTTAATAAGTTTACGTCTGGGTTACCATATGAGGTTATCGATATTATTACCGATTACCCCCCAAATTTACACATACAATGTTGTGGCGGTCATAGCATATATATATATTAGAAGTTCTTCATTCGACACGGGCCTTCGATAGCCCAGCGGTTACGCTCACCACTCATACCATGTAGTCTCTCGGGTTCAAATCCCGCACAGGAGAGATTTTTCGGTGTCTAAGGCAGGGTCTGCCTGATAGCTTTACTGACGAGTCCACACACAGGCAGACCCGGGACGAAAACAACAAACAGGGCACACACACCATCACCCCTCCACATCTAAGCCCAAAATGTAGACCAATTTTACGATTTACGTGTATAATTACCCTTTGTATGTAATATTATATGTTTACGTATTAAATGTTCGCCTACGATACGTTCTTTGGGTAAATTTAGATGCCGAATGTGATATTACCCAGACAATGTATTTTTACGTTATTAATAGTGGCATCGAAGTAAATGATCTAGGGGGTAAATTTACATGGGAATCTTTGTCCCGGTGAGCGCCGGGTATCGGAGATCGAGATCGTTCACCGATACGTATCGATTCGCCGGCGATAACTCGACCGATTCGAGCATTCCGGAATTTCAGGCCAGTCGAACACGGTAATTAGATCTTTCCGTCCTCATTGGCCCGAGCCGTAAGTTTTTCCTACCCTCGTAAGTCTTCACTCCACTCGGCGAACTTTCATAGTATCTCGGCCTTCGAGATGTCGACTCGAAGAGTCGTTTCGATCGGGCGATATCCCTGTTCTATATACTAACTGGATAGCTGATATCCTACTAAATGGCGGGACGATGTATTAACGCATTCGCGAGCGGAAAATTTTTTTCCGTTTCAAATACCGAGTACCGGCGAAAATAATGAATTTCTGAAACTGGTTGCCGCTAACTTGTATCGCGTATCGTTATGGACGTGATTCACGTCAGCGGCAATTAGGACTAGAATTTTAAATGACGTGAATTCACGTCAGCGGCAACCAGGAATAGAACTTGAAAAGACGTGAATTCACGTCAGCGGCAACCAGGAATAGAACTTGAAAAGACGTGAATTCACGTCAGCGGTCGCGAGTGTGTTAAAATGATTCGGTGCACCCAAAACAGTTACATAAATATTTTCACATTTTGATATATAGAATGTATAGTATATGTAAGAATGTATAGTAATGTATATAGAATATATGGAATACCTTTCGTATCACTTTAAGACTGACGATAAGTGATCGGTCTAGAGAAAAATTCCCCGACTCCGTCGTCGTCGTCGAAACTTGCGCCGACGCATGGATTTACTAATTAATCGGATCGCGCTTCTCGAGGTTTATTATAAGTCAACCCCCCGACATCTCCTCGGAAGTTGCTCGGCGTACTTGTGGACGACACTCGCAGCCGAGAAGTTCCTAAGGCCGGTGATTCCCAACACGCGAGCGGAACATCTTCGCCGGGTGGAATTACCCGCGAAGTGCACCGCCCGCGTCCCCGAGGGAGGCAGCCACTTGGTCGAATTAAGGCAAGTGCATCCATGCATCGGAAGCCGTCCGGGTAGGCAGAGAAGTGCGCCAAGTTTTAGCCTCCCCTTCTCCGAGGTGCTTCCGACCCGATCGCTCCTCGTCGACGTCGGATGCCGCGATACGACCCCCGACGTCGACGGTGACATCCGGCGACATCCACAACCGACGATATTAGCCCCGTCGACGTCACTACTCTATGCCTTCGGGCTTAAGGTGATGTGAAAGTGCCGTCGAAGAGGCTTCGTTTATAAAACTTTTCTCCCAATTTGGTTTACCGAATGGTTTGATACGTTACAACGTGAATAGGGAGACTATAAGGGAGGTCCTGAAACTCATGAAATTTCTATTCTTTTCAAATTTATTTATAGNAGGGTACCAAATCGTTTCGAACTTTACAACGTGAATATGGAGGCTATAAGGAAGGTCCCGACGCCCATGAAATTTCAATTCCAAGAACATTTATTTAATAGGGAGACTATAAGGGAGGTCCTGAAACTCATGAAATTTCTATTCTTTTCAAATTTATTTATAGGTATTTTAAAAATAGTTTATAAATAATTAAATTTCCCGAGTTTCCGGACCTACCTTAGGGGCTCTATATTCACGTTTTAGAGTATGAAACGATTAGTGACACCCAGTTCGTAGAAAAGTATGATGAACCATTGAGCTTTCGGATGCCACTTTCACATCCCCTTAAGGTGATATATACATTAAAAGAAAAGTGATAATATTTATAATACTTTTCTCCAAACTGGGCGCACCGAATTATCCAAGCCTTAACATGTGATTATGGAGGCCCTAAGGAATAACGCGCTGCCCGTGAAAATTTCTTTCTTCGAAAGAAAATGTCTACTTATCTCGAACAAGAACCGAAAAAAGGCATCTTTTTTTTTTTTTTAGAAAAATGAAATTTCACGATCATCGCGCTCTTTCTTGGGGCCTCCATAATCACGTGTTAAAGTTTCAGATAATTCGGTTTGGAGAATTAACAAATATTTTCACATTTATATACATACTGTACATTATATGTGCCCATAATTATGAAAGTGGTCTAAGCCAAAATAAAAAAAAAAATGAGTTTATCAGTTATTTCAGGCCATATTATTTCAAACGAAATTAATTCAATGTAATTTCGAAACAAAAAATATATGACTTGGACCACTTTCATAATTATGGGCACATATATATAATGTATAGAATGTATAGAATATATAGTGTATATATATACAGAATGACCCTTTCATATCACCTTAATCACATATACTTGAAATATACGCCGTGTCGCGGTATACCGGGTCGCACAAAAGTGACATGTTAAGCCGACGTGTCAGGTGGTTATTGATAATTCTCCGAGCGGAATAATTATCAGTGAAATGCGGCAATCAATCGACCTCTTTTTGGGGCGGCGGGGCTATGCGCCGGAATTAATGAATCCCGGGGTGCATGAATATTGCTCTCCGTACAGGTCGTGTTACCTCCAGCTAACAGCTTCGCTCAGCTAATTCCGCTTGTTAGTTGCTATCATCCGGGCCAGCTAGGTGCGATATCGAGCGCGGGAAAACCGCGCGGCGCGTTTTCCTTCCAACTTCCCTCTATCTCTCTCTCTCTCCTCGGGGCTCCTCCGACGGACACCTCGAAAATAACCCGCTGAATATTCACTCCCTGCTTGCTAAATTTATGCGCAATTAAACATATCGCAAAGCCCGTCTACTCGTTTACCCGAGTCGGGCGGACGCCGCTGGAAACGCTCGCGGACTTAATATGCATCCCGCAGAAAAAGAATACGCTACTTTGGGAGGGGTATGTCGTGGAAATGTATGTATATTAATTCGGGTGAGCGAATTTAGGGAAGAATGTTAATTCTTAGGAATTATCGTTCAAAAGAGTCGGTACTCTACGGAAGAGGGGCAGTAACGTAATGTCTTAAGGCGAGGTGAGACATGTCGAGAAATTTGATCGACGTCGGTAAAAAAAGATTCTTCTAAGTACCTACGTTACTTTGGGAATGTATGTATGTTAATTCGGGTGAGCGAATTTAGCGAAGGATGTTAATTGTTAGGAATTATCGTTGAAAAAAGTCGGTACTCTACGGAAAAGAGGCAGTAACGTAATGTCTTAAGGCGAAGTGAGACATGTCGAGAAATTTGATCGACGTCGGTAAAAAAGATTCTTCTAAATATCTACGTTACTTTGGAAATGTATGTATGTACGCAATAACGTAACGTAATTAAGGCGAGGTGAGACATGTCGAGAAATTTGATCGACGTCGGTAAAAAAAGATTCTTCTAAGTACCTACGTTACTTTGGGAATGTATGTACATTAACCCTTTAGCATTAGGTGACGCATGGTACGTCGATTTAAACTCTTTTTCCAGACGACACTAGCGCGTAAGCGGTACACCCTCTTTTATATTTTTTTATATTGCATTAAAATTCACCTTTCGGAACTTTACAAAACATACATTATGTTCGCGATTTTGTCCAGAGAAACGCGAAAATCGCTCGTGGCTGAAGAGTCGAATTGAACGCGGGGTATGCGCATACGTGTGCATGTTTGCGAACATGAACGCGTCCCCATCATCTACTGCCGGCATCATGTCCATAGGGAAGGCATTCATGTACTCCAGAGTACCTAGAGTAACGAGAACGTACGGAAACACGATCCAGGTTGTACCATGAGCACCTGAAATGCCTCGAATCCCTATTTCCGTTGGTCCCTGTCCCGGTGTAGTAGGCTTAATTGCTCATGACGATCGTTGCGCGCCCCGAGGAAGATGTTGAGCCTCTTCAGGGTGTCGGGGCAGTCGGAGGACTTGGCCCCACACGATAAAGGGTTAGGACACATCGTCCAGACGGGACCGTCGTCCCACAGGAGATCGAACCCACCTACTCTGGTCTCGGAACCTACGAGACGACCCTCCAGGTCCAGGACGTTGAAGACGTCATCCAGAACGTCGAACTTCAGCCTGTAAGAGGGATGCGACGAGTCCAGTTCTTGAATTCGTTAAGGGGATGTGAAAATGGCATCCGAGGGGCGATCGTTCATGATACTTCACTCTGAACTGGGGGTACCAAATCATTTCGAACTTTACTACGTGAATATGGAGGCTGTGAGGAAGGTCCTGACGCCCATGAAATTTCAATTTTAAAAACGTGTTTTTTTTTATAAAAAAATCTCGCGAGTTTCAGGACCTTCCTTAACCCTCCATATTCACGTTGTAAAGTTTAAAACGATTCGGTATACTGAGTTCGGAGAAAAGTTACAAGAACGATCGACCTCTTGGATGCCACTTTCACATACCCCCTCAAAGGGATTCATTCGTTCATCCGGTCATTCATTCATCGTTAATTCGTTAATCGTTCATTCGTTCATCCGGTCATTCATTCATCGTTCATTCATTCATTCGTTCATGAAACTGTTCTTCGAATTGAGGGTACCAAATCGTTAATTCGTTCATCGTTCATTCGTTCATCCGGTCATTCATTCATCGTTCATTCATTCATTCGTTCATGAAACTGTTCTTCGAATTGAGGGTACCAAATCGTTTCGAACTTTACAACGTGAATATGGAGGCTATAAGGAAGGTCCCGACGCCCATGAAATTTCAATTCCAAGAACATTTATTTATATATATTTTCAACATTTTTCTTATTATTCTGGCGAGATTCAGGACCTTCCATAAACCCTCCATATTCACGTTGTGAAGTTTAAAACGATTCGTTACACTCAGTTCGGAGAAAAGTTACAGAAACGATCGACCCCTTAGATGCCACTTTCATACCCCCTCAAGGGGATCATTCGTTCATTCATTCACTATTCATTATTTCCTTCATTATTCATTCTTTCCTTATTCATTCATTCGTTCATTCATTCATTTATTAATTCATTCATTCGTTCATGAAACTTTTCTTTGAATTGAGGGTACCAAATCGTTTCGAACTTTACAACGTGAATATGGAGGCTTACAACATTGCGGAAATGTTTGAGTCAATTAGTCCATGAACGCGAGCGCAAATGTTTGAATTATTGAAATTGCATTTTGATTGCGTGCGATTTGGAATTTAGGTGACCCATATTGTTTATTATAGCGAACCTGTTGTGTATTTTTAGTAATATCGAACAGAGAGTTGTTTTTGCATTTGCGACGAATAAACAATAATAAGGAAGGTCCTGACAGCCATGAGATTTCAAGTTCTCGAATGCAAGTGACTCGAATCGATAAAGCATTTCGTCACGTCACTAGCCTGTAGTCTTCCTCGTCGGTGGCGGTCAGGGACGGCGAGGCGTTCACCTCCAGCAGCCAGGGCGTCAGGCTCTCGTCCAGGAGGATGTCGTAACCGTACAGCTCGAAAGAGTTTCTCCCCTGCATTATGACCGGTTGCACGGCTTGCAGGCTCGCCATAATGACACCTAAGTGCATCGGGACAGAGAGAGAGAGAAAGAGGGATGAGAGACGCGTCCGGGCGTTAACGATGCGACTTCAAACGGGCCGATCGAGATCGGCCGTAAGGACGATTCGCCGGTAATTGGGGCAGATAACAAAGATAAACGTTTATTTGCCTTCTTCTTATCGGCTCTTCAATTACCGCTCAGGTTAAGCCCGGGTAATTTGGGGATTACGGGAGAGTCGGTATGATTTGTCAACCCACGATTTTTATCGACGTTTGATTGGCAAGCTATTAGATTTTTTTTTTTTTATTAATTCCAAGAAATAATTTACAAGCTGTCCAAGAGGACAATAAGAACATTTTGTGTAATACAGAGCAATGATTTTAGTTGTACTGCTTTTAACTGTCAAAATCATACGTCAAGGTTTGACAACTTTTAGTTGTCAAAATGAAGCATAAAAAATGAAGGGCATTGACGACATTTTTTTACAAAGCAATAGCAGAGCAATGATTTTAGTTGTACCGCTTTTAGCTGTCAAAATCATACATCAAGGTTTGACAACTTTTAGTTGTCAAAATGAAGCATAAAAAATGGAGGGCATTGTCGACATTTTTTAGAAAGCAATAGCAGAGTAATGATTTTATGAGTTAATTACCCCCCTCGGATTTCCAAGTACATAGCTCTTTGGGTGAATTTTAGAAACCGGAAATAAATAATTCCAAGTGTATTCGAAACACGGAACGAGTTGCAAATATTAACGTGACGACGCGGCTACAAAGACGTTGCGTTTAACCCTTCTCGGCCCATTTTTCCTCGTGTCATGGCTTTCAATTGGGAAGAAGCTGGACGTAAATCTGACAACAAAAGGGGCGTAATGATATGCGTGCACGTTTCTTATTGTCGTTGTCGCATCAAGTTAAGCCCTTAATGGGAGTCGTCTGGCTATAATGGGGTACAACAATGACGTGGCAAAGGACGCCTCGACTTAAGAAGATTAATTTCGGGCGATACCCCATTTTTAGCCCGGGTACCATTTAGGCATCAAGACAATGAACGCATTTAAGGGTCTTCCGAGAAATGCGCTTCGTGAAATCGTACCGAGCTCCGGAGCTTAATTATAAATATTTAGAGGTATGCGCCATAATTAAGACACAATTACGCGTTACGCTGACTACACCGTTAAGAATATTCATTGAATTCATACACTTTGGGACAAAAGGTTGGAGTGAAAGAACAAAAATTTACGTCTTAAAAGGCGGATCGGTATGCGATATAAAGTTCTGTATAAATTTATAATTCTACAACTTCACGTTGTAAATTTGCGCGGGAGAATTAATGCGTATATTTAAAGATGCGGTATGAAATTAACAAAAAAAGAATGTATATTTACAATATATTTTAACGGTGTAGATTGATTTCGAAGGAATGGCACGAAATTATGATCTACATTTTGAACCATGTAGAGAGAGATACTCTATACCGATACATGGAGACGTAGGTGATCGTTAAAATGACAACACCAAGAGTTAAAAGTGATCAATTGATAATATTCATAATTTTAAATGCAACAGTTGAGATTAAGGCAGGATTAACGTTTATCTCTTATTAAGAATACTTGAAACCATGACTTGTTCCTCGTATGCATTAAATCATTGTTACAGAATTTTGGCGCAATTATCCTTGTCACTTCTAAACGTTGCAATTTGTAATGTTGCCAATTGTGGTTTTTTGTCCATTCTTTTTTTTTTTCCCGTGTAGAGTAATATGCAAATATCGACGTAGAGGTTCAATTTAGATCGTTGTTTGTCGATTTTTATGAAAACCTCCGCATTGCCCCTTAACGACACGTAATTCCCATCAGTTGTTGAACCAGAGAGTTACGTGATCTGAATTTTGCAGTTTGGCCGATCGTGGGATCACCTACGTGCAATGCATGCGAGATATGGAACCGATATATCGAATATTGTTAGAATGTCCTGTCGAAACGTTAAAGTCTGCCGCAAAGTGTAGGAGGCGAAATTAGCGAGGCGAATTTACTATTGACAAGTCTATATTTTTGTAGATCTACAGAATATTAATTGGCTTATTGTTCAAAACCATATGCGTAAGCCGCAAGGAGCCGTGTATAAAATGGATCCAAGTGTTCCATTTTATGATCCTCGACCAAGTGCCGTGCCTGTCCACTTTTTTGCCTTTGAATTGTTTCCTTCAATATTTTCCATAGATTCACAGGTAATTAATTGAGTTATTGTTAAAGATGACATGCGTAAGTCTCAAAGAGATGTATAGAAATTGGTCCAACTGTTCGCTTCTATGATCCTCGATCAAGTGCTGTTCCTGTCCACTTTTTTGCCTTTGAATTGTTTCCTTCATTATTTTCCATAGATTCATAGGTAATTAATTGGCTTATTGTTAAAAATGACATGCGTAAGCCTCAAAGAGATGTGTAGAAATTGGTCCACTGTTCGCTTCTATGATCCTCGACCAAGTGCCGTTCCTGTCCACTTTTTTGCCTTTGAATTGTTTCCTTCATTATTTTCCATAGATTCATAGGTAATTAATTGGCTTATTGTTAAAAATGACATGCGTAAGTCTCAAAGAGATGTGTAGAAATTGGTCCAACTGTTCGCTTCTATGATCTTCGATCAAGTGCTGTTCCTGTCCACTTTTTGGCCTTTGAATTGTTTCTTTCCATATTTTCCATAGATTTACAGGTAATTAATTGGCTTATTGTTAAAAATGACATGCGTAAGCCTCAAAGAGATGTGTAGAAATTGGTCCAACTGTTCGCTTCTATGATCTTCGATCAAGTGCTGTTCCTGTCCACTTTTTTGCCTTTGAATTGTTTCTTTCTATATTTTCCATAGATTTACAGGTAATTAATTGGCTTATTGTTAAAAACCATATGCGTAAACCTCAAGGAGACGTATATAAAATGGATCCAAGTGTTCCATTCTATGAATTTCGACCAAATGCGGTTCGTCGGGATAGTCTTGGTCTAGCCGTAACATTTGTTTAGGCAATGATCGCGTCTTCTAAACAATGCTCGTGTCTTCTCGCTGTGATTATTGGAACAGGCCCGCCCATGGACCTCCGATCATTTTGCCTTTGTCCCTTTGAATTATTTCCTTCTAAAGTCTTAACCAGACGAGGACACGGATTACGTTATCGAAGCGACTCGATGATTACATCGAACCAGTGGGATTACTTTTCAATCCAATTGCTGTGCGAGAAAGCACTGCATCCGATGTAATCCAATAAACACAAAGTGGTGGAATACACGTTGAGAAATTGTGTAAAACCGTTGACGGTAATCGTATGAAGGCGTGATGCAAAAAGAAACGTTGAGATGACGTCTGTCTTCCCAAGACAAATTCTCTTTAGCAAAATTTTAAGAAATAGGGTTAATACTTTGTCTCGGTAAACTTTGGCGGTCAAATTAATCATATGAAGGGAATAATCATAGGGGGACGAGGGGAAAACTTGGGTGGGCCTATTCCAGGGATTACTCGTGAGATGACGTCATCGTGGTCTAAACAACGGATAAGGATGAGATAAGGCTGTCCTTACGAGCCAGGGGACAAAAGGGGATACTTCGTTCTGCACAGAACCGTGCAGTTGGCTCTTATTCGAATATTCTAGTTTTGCCTTTACAAAAAAGAAAGTGTCCTATTCGTGTCGACTGATTTGTGGGGGGGTTTTGTTTCGCCTTAAGGTGAAGTGAAACACGTTGAGGAACTTGATCGACGTCGATAAAGAAGATTTTTCTAAATGCATACGTTGCCGACGTTGGTTTTTATATTGACAGCTGGGTCGAATTATATTGGGTATTGTACCAAATGGCATACTCCACCTGTCGTTTTCGTACAATAATTATAAAGAAATCGAAGTAAAACTCCAGAAATCCTCTGGATTCATGCTTTCTGGGGCCCTAATTGACTGCAGAGGGACCCCCTGCACCTTCTGCAATTTCTAGGTCAATTAAATTTTTACTCCGAGACCTCGTATTCCCATCGTTTTAGCATAGAAGCGCATACAACCCTTTGTTTGCCTTTATTCCGTTCAAATGCGAGTTTATCTATTACCAGAGTGTTCTAAATTGTCGTAAAATTATCCTGACCTTTTCGTTTCTCATATCAGAGCCTTCGATAATTGTATATTGATCGAGATATGAGAGCTCGACGCCATTTTGGTTCTGGTCTAGGCTAAGTTAAAAAATCTTTTCCAAAAATCCAAATTTTGAATGTGTCAGGACAATTCTTAGATGATCAGGAGTGACGTGTCAGTTTCGGACAGTTTGGTCTAATAGCCTTGAAAAAAAAGTGTTGTATTCGAGTCGAGTAATTTGAAGGGGGGTTTCACTTCACCTTAAGCCAAGCGAAGAAATCCTCGATGACAAGCTCGTCAAAGAACGCTAACCGGACTCCTCCGTGATAACGCTTGCGGTTAACAGCTGTCTCGGATATACGATTACACGGTCGCCCAACTCTTGCTTGTAGGTCAGAAAGGAAAGGAGTTCGCTTTCGGCCGGGGTAACATAACTCAAGATGAAGAGAGGAGAATAAAGTTGCGCAGAAAGGTGGAGGCAACTCCCACGGATGACGCGCTAAACGTCTCGCACTTGGCGGCTCCGTTCCTAACGTCAGTGGTCTATTAATCGGACAATCCCCCGTATATCCAGGTCGGTCTGGGTGCATGACTCAGTCACCGTCGTTAGACTTACGATTACACCGACGACGTAACCGCGGCCTTACGCGCCTCCCGTAATGCAGAATGTTCTTGGCGCGCCACTCTCCCATTCACGTACGGAGCGCACCGCTCGCGATCCCGAGTTTTGCAGCGCTTTTTGTCCCGCGCTTTGCGCCATGATTTGCAGGGTGCTTTGTACCCTGACTTGCATTGCACCGTGCATCCCGATTTGCGCCGCGATTTGCATTGTACTTTGCCCCGCTAGTTATTGTTATGTTCCTCTTTGGACTGAGATTTGCTCTGCGCTTTGCCCCGCGATTTGCATTTTAATATGCATCCCAATTTGCATTGCTGAATTTGCAATGCACTTTGCACCGCAATTTTCGATGCACTTTGCACCGCGAATTGTCCTGCGCTTTGCTACGCAATTGACCATTCTGCATCGCACTGAGATTTGCAATGCTCTTCACCCCGCAATTTGCCCCGCACTGCGATTTGCATCGTACTTTGCACCGAGATTTACATTATGCGTTGCACCGAGATTGGCAATGCCTTTTGCACCGCGATTTGCACTGCACTGAGCACCCTAATCGCGATTTGCATTCTATTTTACACCGCGATTTGAATTGCGCTTTGCACCGCAACTTGCATTACACTGTGCACCCTAATTTGTACTGCGCTTTGCACGGTGATTTGCATTGTACTTTACACCGCGATTTGAATTGCGCTTTGGACTGCAATGTGCATTTCACTTTGCACCGCAATTTGCATTGTACTGTGCATCGCGAATTGTACTGCGCTTTGTATCGCAATCTGCGTTGCGTTTTGTATTACGTAATTTTGCATTTGAAGAATGGCAGCTCGGCATTGCAGTTCACTATAATAGCGAGAACATTGAATATCTTATCACTGTAATTTGAATTCCGAAATCTCAAATTAATGACAACCTTTCTTAGTCCCAAGCAACGTGTCTTCCGAGAACTATAAAGAACAATGACCCTATTTACGGAGAGGTCTTAGTGATCGCAGCAATTACACCTTTCTTATAACAAGCGCTTTTATACTTGTCAAAGTGTTAGTATATATCAGTGGTTTTTAACTTCTTTAAAATAAACACTTATGATTATAAGTAAAATTTGAGGACCACTAAAGTCATTATGTTTTATAAACGAAACTTCTCAGATGCCACTTTCACGCCCCCTTAAGGTGATATGAAAGAACCTATATATATCTGGGAGGTCAAATCGTTGGGGAAAGTATTCTCCGAAGTGGGTGTATCAATTTGTCTCAAATTTTACCACGTAAATAAGGAGACCCTAATAGTAGATCCTGAAACTCACGAAATTTCATTTTTTATACAAACCATTGAAAATAGCCTTAAACAAATTATCTTAAAATTGAAATTTCATGGGCGTCAGGACCTTCCTTATAGCCTCTGTCTTCACATTGTAAGGATTAACCCTTTTAGTGCCGAACAACGATATATCGTCGATTTACAAGTACTAACGACTTCGGCCAGCACTAAAAGGGGTAAAACGATTCGGTGCACTCGGTTTGGGGATAAGTTTCTTAAATGAGGCCTCTTTGGTGCCACTTTCACATCACCTTAAGAACCACTGATGTACACGAACCGTTTTCTGCCTTAGAGTCCGTTCGAACGCATGACTCGGGTTTGCCGACTGTCCTCCATAGTTGGATTTACGATTACGCGTGCCACGTAATCGCCGGTTTGCGCGTGTCCCGGAATGCAGAATGTTCTTGCAGACCGTTCTCCCGGTTTCTATGTGCGACACGTTCGCTTAGGTGACGCTAAAATATCGAGTCGCACCGCCCGAACGCATAAGGTTCATTCGCCAATCGGAATTTCAGCCCTCCAATGGTGACCCGCCATTAATAATATCGAGGGGGCGCGGGTGTTGGAGCGTTGTAATTAAATTTCTTGCTCGTTCTCCTTAATCATCCGCCTTAATTAACGCATTAACTTGATATAGAGACTCGGCCCGAGTATCTGGCGTCCGGCGATTCCGACCCTTGGAACGTCATACGACGTCCGATAATACAATAGAAGACCCTCTTGTCTTCTATACACTTCGCAAGCCAACTCCGATGGAAATTCATGATCATCGTATGATGAGGAAAATCGATTTACAGACAATTTGCAGACCATTTGCTGCATTAAATGGCTGCAATATATGTACACGCATATTACACGATAGATTTGAAGACAAAATTTGCCACGCCATGGCTCAAATAATGTGTATAAAGCTGGAACTGCCACTTTAGCACAATTCAATAAAATTTGTTGCTAATTTATTGCTACTTTATTGCAGAAGAAAAACATTTTTTGCTCTTACACTTTTCCGAAAAATGGTGGCGATGTCAGCTTTATATAAAGCTAGCACTGCCACAATAAAAAAAAACAATTATTAAGTAAATGTTAATCGATGAATTATATATCAGAATTTATTGTTAATTAATTGCTCGCAGAAAAACCGAATTTCAATTATTTTGCTCACTCCTAAAGGGGAGAATCGCCACCCGTAGTGCTGATCGCAGGACAGAAACATGAAATACATGGGAGAATCGAACTATTTCTTCGCATGGGAATTAATTGCTAATTAATTGCTCCGAGAATAACCTATATCTTCGTAACAATACAATTTTCAAACCTACATTAATTAGCGATTAATTCCCACGTCAAGAAATAGTTCGATTCTTCCATTTTTTACGTGGCCATGCTGGGGCGACATAGGTGGGGTTGGCCTACCACCTTAGGGGTTGTGCAAAAAATTCGAAATTAGATTCTTCTCGGAGGAATTAATTAGCAATTAATTCCCACGCGAAGAAATAGTTCGATTCTCCCATGTTTTTTATGTCTCTGTCCTGCGATCATCACTAGGGATGGCGATTCGCCCCTTTAGGGGTGAGCAAAAAAATTGAAATTTGGTTTTTCTGCGAGCAATTAATTAGCAATAAATTCTGGTATATAACTCATCGATGAACATTTACTTAATAATTATTTTTCATCGTGGCAGTGCTAGCTTTATATAAAGCTGACATCGCCATCATTTTTCGGAAAAGTATAAGAGCAAAAAATTATCTTCTTGTGCAATAAAATAGCAATGAATTAGCAATAAATTTTGCAACAAATTTTATTGAATTGTGCTAAAGTGGCAATTCCAGCTTTATATACATGCTCAAATATGAGCTACAGACGCTGCAATTGTTTATCGACGATGCGTGAGATAAATTTAGCTGTACGTATGCGGAGAAACGAGGAGACATCGCATGCACTTAACTTTGTTTCATATTTAAGTATTTTTGGCTCGTCGTTGTGTCCTGCGAATATGAGTTCCAAATAAAGACTCGTAAGCAACATTTTCATGACTCGTTTCGTGATCTTTTATCAGGCAAATTTGATGGAAATTTTCCATCACTTTGTCTAACTGGGAAGTTTTGTATCGTACGATGATAGCGAGAGAAAAGTATTAAAATGAGTTACAAATGTTTCAAGTATTATGATTTAATCAATTCGCTTCTGCAAGAAGGCTTCTAAAGAAAATTAGGTTACTTCGAGGAGAGTTAACTTCGGATGGGAAAACACGGGTTCGCCAAATTCGGAGACTTGTTACGAGAAATGGCCATTCCCTTTCCGTTCCCGAATTTCAAAATTTAATCCTACATCTTGGCGTAGCACCTGTCATTGAGTCATTCCTTTGTAGGCAAGGAATTTAAACATAAATTGTAAATTTATATGGAATCAATTACTATCAGAATGTGCCAATTTCATGTATCAATTCTCTGCTGAAAAATGGCTTGAAAAGAAAATCAGGTTACTTCGAACAGGATTAACGTCGAATGGGAAAACATGTGTTGGCCGAATTCGGAGACTGGTTAGGAGAAATGGCCATTTCCTTCCTGTTTCCGAATTTCCAAATTTAACATTACACCTTGGTATAGCACCTTGCCAATGAATCACTCCTTTGTAGGCAATGAATTCAAACATAAATTGAAAATTTACACACATTTACTAAAAATGTATGAAAGCTGCTAATTTATATACAATTACTATCAGAATGTGAATATTAGTCAATTTCATATATCAATATAATAATAATATATAAATTTGCAATTTATATACAATTAATTCCCTATGAGAGTGTTGATATTTGCCAATTCCATGCGTCAATTCTCTCCTGAAAAATGGCTTGAAAAGAAAATCAGGTTACTTCGAGGAGAGTTAACTTCGAATGGGAAAACACGAGTTGGCCGAATTCGGAGACTGGTTAGGAGAAATGGCAGAGTTTCCTTCCCGCGGGAACGGGAAGGAACAACGGCCTCGATTTACCGGCGACACGTTGCAGGAGCGCGTCCACCGCAGAGACTCCGTGCCTCGCAGCCAAGTACTCTCTAACCCTGAGGAGAGCCCATTTGCAGCCATGTTTAACTTGCGCTCTTCTTCGACCCTCCTGATGCTCGCCTGGCTCTCTTCTCAGCTGAATTGCCATATTGGTAAGGTGTACTCTGCTATCGTCGATCTTCTCCAGGGAGAACAATTCCCCGCTGAGCCGCGCGAATCCCTCTCTGGCCAGCCAAACCTTCAGTGGATGGAATGACGTCACCAGCACGTAAATCCGGAGATCGAACTTCCTTCCTGCGACAAAGACGAATTTCTTTTCTTTTTATTCCTTTCTTCCCGCTGATTCGACAGACTCGCCGGATACTGACAAGGAAGGTATCCCAGATCGATCTCTCCGATTTGATTTCTTTTATAATATGTTATAGTAGACTAAAAACTAAGCGACACGTATTTTTCTTCATCTGCCATTAAAAACTTTAAGGGGGTGAAACCACCATCCGAAGTAAGGCATGTCAAGGGGCGATTTGGCAGTTTCACCCACAAGAACATAATATTGTTTAATCAATCCACCTGGAAAAGCTTTCTCATAACGAGAAATGAAAAATGTAATTTTCTCAATGAAAAAAAGAAAATTAAGGGGTGAGCCACCCCTCACAGGCCTTACTTTGGATGGTGGTTTCACTCCCTTAAAGTGTTTAATGGCAGATAAAAAGAAATACGTGTCGTTTAATTTTTAGTCTATTATAAGATATTATAAAAGAAATCAAATCGGAGAGATCGACCTGGGATACCTTCCTTGTGAGAGAAAAGATTAGGTGACTGATGTAAGTAGACGAAGTGATGCAAAGTTTGCAACAAATCTACCTCATAATAGATCATGAAATGAGTCATTAGGGTGTTGCTTATGAGTTCTCATTTGGAACTCGTATCTGCAGGACACGATGACGAACCAGAAAATACTTGAACATGAAACGGAGTTAAGTACATCCAATGTCTCAATGTTTGTCCGCATATGTGCAGCTAACAATTGCAGCGTCTGCAGTTCATATTTCAGCCACGGCGTGACACATTTACCGCTTATTTTTGTTCAAATTGATTCTGTAATATGCGTACATATATGTAATATGCGTACATATATTGCAAACATTTCATGCAGCGTGTGGTCTGCAAATTCTTTGTAAATCGACTTTCTTCATCATATAATGCTCATGAAGTTCTGTCTGGGTATTGTTGATATATTGTTGCCTGCATCATATATGATTACAAAAAAACAATTATTTTGTTGAGAAGAGCAATTGATGTTGAGTGAAACTAATTGTTGCCTTGCAAAAGGGTTACGATTACCACAATTGTGGTTTTCCTGACCGTTCTTTTTTTTTTTTCGTGCACTCTGCACGGGCGTGTACGGATACGGCACAGACGTGCACGGATACGGTACCGAATATATCAGGTGCGTCAAGCTAGCACGGCAACATCCCAATTCACGATTTCTGAATACAGAGGAATTATGTGCTAATTTTGTGCTAATTTTGTGCTGAATTAATTAATTTTGTACCCCCACCATTTTTCCGAAATTTGAAATTTCAGTGTGGCCGTGCTAGCTTGACGTCAAGCCAGCACGTTCCCATCTCAAACAAGACAAAAAGTTAAAAACAAGTACACCAAATTCAAGGGCAAATTATGTGCTAATTTTGTGCTGTAATCGTTTTTTCTTTACACCGACCATTTTATCCAAAAACTCGATTTT